CTCGCGCGCAGCGATAAAGTTTTATTTACCTTGCGTGCGTGATTTATCTAATTAATAATAACTATGTAGGCTATCAAAACGTTGGCAAGCAGTCAACATCAAAAGAGTGCCACTTATGTACGTTATTACTATTATTTATTCTGTGACTCCGTGCATTGAGTTGTTTATTTAAGTCTAGTAAACGTATGATTGCATCTTTCAAACACTTTTCAGGCTTTGGACTTTCGACTCTGAATAATTTTCAAACTCTCATGCAACGTGGTATTTTAATACATTTTCAAAATGTCCACCACAGCTCCGTGGCGCAGTGGCTTAGCTTTGAGGCTTTAATTGTGATACAGTGTTAAGGACCGCGGGTTCGAATCCTGCAAGGAACAATATTTGTATGCCCTACAAATAATTGTTCCGGGTCTGGATGTTTGTCCTTGAGCGATTTATGTTTGTACACTGCCCTAACAATACAACAGAAAATCCTAGTGTGGAGATTACGTTTTAAAAAAGAAAGAAAACAATTTAGAAAGCAATTCAGTGTCATTTTTAACTATTCTAAAAGCGGTAACACATAGAATTACTATTTTAGGTCTTCGGCACTTGTTGTCTCACTAAAATAAGCTAATGATTTATTAAGTCCCCATAAAACAAAAAGTCAAGAGGCGTCAAATCAGCTGATCTGGGAGGCCAATGGCCTGGCCGCCGCGACCTTTATAAGGCACTCCAAACTCTGTAATTGTAAAGACTTTAACATACTTGATGTAAGGTCCAATTTTCTTTGTTTTTTATTGAATGATGGAATTTGTATTAATACAAATAAAACTGCACTTTTAAAAGTCTTATTGCCTTGAGTTACGGTCCATTTCAGTTTTTTTACTGTACGGGTTTAGTGTGACTATAAATAACGTAGTTTCAATTATTTTTGGGATAAAGAATTACCTATATTAAAAATGATAGAAATCGATTGAGTAAACATTTCGATTCAGTACATTTAATTTGGTAGTTAATTTTATTTTAATAATTTAGACTTTTAATTTCAATATATAATAAGTATTTATATTGTAATGGCTATTAATGATATAAGTGGCGAAAGTGAGTTGTTTTTCACTGCTGATGATGACAGTTTTTGTTCTATGGTAAGTGATAGTGGAAGTTCTATTTCCACTCCTCTCTGAGAGTTTCTTGTTTCGCACTTTGCCGATGTCACTAACAACTTCAACGTTGTTCATATAAATGTACAGAGCATCCCGGCCCACATACCCGATATGCTGACAATGTTTACTTGTAAAAATAAACATGCTGTTCTTATTTCTGAATCGTGGCTGAAGTCCTGTCTTTCCTCTACCTGTTACAATCTTCCTAGCTTCCAATTAATAGAAAACGATCGCTCGGTAGGCGGCGGTGGAGGTGTCGCCATTTATCTACGTTCACACATTTCTTTCACTATTGTCAATGTATCTACACAACCACCGCCACCTGATGCCGGTGAGCATCTTTTTAATGAAGTCACACTATCACTCACTCTAAAGTTCTTCTTGGTGTTTATTACTGCCCTTTTATGCGTATTGACTTCTTCAACTCATTCCAAAATATCTTAGATAAACTTACTCCCTCCTATTTACATACGATTATAATGGGTGACTTTAACACTTGCCTCCTTAAACAGGATGCCAGGGCTTCTTCTCTTCAGTCAATCTTATATTCTAGTAATCTCTCTATTTTACCTCTAAATGCCAAATGCCACGCATCATTTTCCAAACTCGAGGCCCTCTCTCCTTGACCATATTTTTTTTTCCTCTTGTAACTTTGTCTCGAAGCACGGTCAATATACGGCCGATGCATTTTCATTTCATGGCCTAATCTTTCTATCTTATAAAACCCGAAAAAAATTTAAAATAAAATTTTACTGCAGCGTAATTTTGGTGGCATGTACATAGACAGTCTTCGTAAGGATGCGTTGCTTTGGGACTGATCAAATCTTTATAGCGCAGATAATTTGGATAATAAAGTTTCAATCTTTACTTCTGCCTAATTAAAAATTCCAAATTGAATATCGTCCATCACCTTGGCTTGCTGATGATATTAAATCTATTATCAATAAAAAGCGTTTAATAGGGAAAAGTATATTAACATTCGCAATCACTGCAATAAGGTGTGTAGGGATGCTCAACGTCTTCATATTCATAAGTCAGTCAAAAATGGTAACGCGGCAAAGGTCTGGAAATTTCATAAATCATTGGGTATTGGGAAATCTAAGAATAGTCCAACGACAAAGGATTTAAACGTTAATGGTTTAAATAAACATTTCTCTTCTGGTCCTGCTTAGACAGCACTACTAAGGCTAATACGCTAACATATCTTTCAACTATTCCCACTGCCAATCATTATTCTTTTGTTTTCAAACCATTTTCTGATTGTGACGTTAAGAAGAGCGTTCCATCTATTACTTCCAATGCAGTGGGAATTAACTGTTTCAGTCGTAACATGATTCTTCCCATTCTTGATATTATTCTTTCTATTATTTGTCATATCCTTAACTTCTCCATTTCTACAAGTAGTTTCCAAAGAAAAATAATCCTACATACTTTTCTGAATATTGTCCTATCTCTTTACTGCCATTCTTACCTAAAGTCTTTGAACGCCTTGTTTACACCCAGTTCAACAGTTTTCTTTGTGCGAATGCTTTTCTTAATCCTTTACAGTCAGGATTTCAACCTGGGCACAGTACTATCACAGCATTGGTGAACATCATCGATGATAACCGATTAGGAATGGAAAACGGTGAAGTGACTGTTCTTTGTTTATTAGATTTCAATAATGCTTTTATTACCGTTGACCATGATGTCCTACTCGGCATAATGCGCTCTCTTAACGTATCTCCAACAGCGATTGGTTGGTTTCAGAGTTACCTGTCGCCAACTACGTATACGTATCGACGATACATTATCATCTTGGTGTAACGCACGTGTTGGTGTACCGTAGGGAGGCGTTTTATCTCCTTTAACTTTTGCAGTTTTTATAAACTCAATGTCTAATAATTTTACTTTTTCCTACCACCTTCATCTACTAATGATGAATCTATGATCTACAAATATATATAAAAGCTTGTCTCAACGATCTCCCCAATGTTATCAATGTCGTTAATGCAGATCTCGATCGAATTCTTGAGTGGACTAATGCATACGGTCTTCACGTTATGCCAGCATAATCGCAAGGCATTATCATGGGCAGTGCGCAAATGTTGGCTAAGTCGAGCCTGGATTACCTGCCTCTAGTATTTGGTAAAACTATTATTCCTAACAGAGATTCAGTAAAGAACTTAGGTATCCACATAGATAAGAATCTGTCGTGGGCACAGCACATTCAAGACATTAATCGCAAAGTTTATGCCTCGGCAGCCTCCTTGCGTAGATTACGTAACTTTCTCCCAATTTTCTCCAAAACTATGCTTGCCAAGTCCCTTCTCTTCCCCATTTTTGACTACGCAGACGTCTGCTATCTAGATATCACCGAAACTCAGCTCGATAAACTTGAGCGAATTCAGAAATTTTGCATAAGGTTTATATTTGGATTGCGCTAATATGACCATGTATCTCTTTTTCATACTAAGCTCAAGTGGTTGCCAATGCGACTTCATCGGAATGCTCACATACTTCATCTTCTTTATAGTGTTCTCTTTAATCCTTCTTACCTTTCGTACCTCAAAAATCGTTTTGAGTTTCTTCGTGATTCCCATTCGCGTAACTTGAGATCAGCAGAGGTTGAATTTGCCACTATATACTAGAAAATTTATGAACAAGTCTTTTACTGTACGGGCCATTAATTGATGGAATGAACTCCCATTGTCAGTAAAACGCGCACCATCCCTACCGGTATTTAAAAAAACTAGTTAAGAATCATTACCTCGCACTTTAAATTCTAGCTTCACTTCCACACTAGCCATTAAATATAATATTATATGTATCATACCAATTTCATTTACATAAACATAAACATAAACACTCACGCCTGTCACCCAGAGGGGTAGGCAGAGATTATGGACTTCCATTTGTCACGATCCTGACACACCTCTCTCGCTTCCTCCACATCCATATACCTTCGCATACACGCTCGTCGGTTAAAGGTACTCTTGATTTGGCCCATTTTTAATATATCGCCAATTAGGTCGATAAACTTTCGCCTAGGGCGACCCTTCCCGACTATGCCGTTCATCTCTGCAACATAAATTTGCTTTGTCACTCTTTCCTCATTCATTCTTTCTACATGGCCAAACCACCGAAGCATTCCTTTCTTAATCCTGGTCACAATATCATCTTGCAAACTTAAAAATTTCATTTAATTAATTAAATAATTCATTATATATGTTTGTTGTGTATATATATATATATACATATCACACACACACACACACACACACACATATATATATATATATATATATATATATATATATATATATATATATATATATATATATATATATATGTATATATGTGTGTGTGTGTGTGTTTATGTGTTTGGACGTGTGTGTGTTTATTCTTTTTGATCTCTTTTTCTCTAACACACCAATTTGCCCCGCCCTTGTCATATTCATGCAATCCTGTCCATTCATTGGTTGTCTGGAAGAAATTGCTATCAGCAATAAGACCGCCCATTGCATACTTCTTTAATATATATATATATATAATTTCTTTAATTTATGTATCGTGTGCAATAAAGAATATTATATAAATAAATAAACGATTCTGAACAAACTACTTTCAGGATGTGCGTTAATTATGTTACGTGTTATACAGTGTATTATGCTAAAAATGGGCCTCTCGTATAGTAGGAGTGTATGACAAAGTCATAATCACCACGCTGTTATCCATGCTTATCAGGTAGATTGGCGATCACGTTATCAGATAATATCTTATCCTTTTCATGCTGGTCTGTATATTTATTTTCTACCATCTATCACATTTTTATATCAATTAAGATAAATTAATTACAAATAAAAATATACTTACAACAAATAGTTTCCAGGGCACTACGTCGCATGTAAACTAAATGGTCGAAGGGGCTCTTTCCTACCTGTAGTGATCAAAATCAAAACATAGTTATAATAAAAAGTAAATAAGTCAATCAATCAATTGGTAAAATTTTCAGAAATTGTTTTAAATTAAATCAAAATGTTTTAATTAAAAGCATAAGATTAAAAACAAAAAAAAGTTAACTATATTGATTCAACCGAGATAACAAATTTCACTAAATTTGAAACACTACATTATTTAAGAAAAGTTGTCGAGTATGATATTTTTGGTGTCGATTATAATCTGACACTGAAATAATTTTAATAAATAATATTAGGAAGTGTATAACTATGCTCATATTTTACTACACTTTAATAGTGTATACATATACATATACAATGCGATGCTAGTAAAGATGGATTGGGATTTTTTTTTACAATAACATACCAGTAACAAAAATTTTTATGCATTCCTTATTAGGTGGGCGGGAAAAAATTTCTTTCAATTTAAAAAAGAATTCTTAAGCTTAGTTTGGGGACAATAATATAACGTAAAAATAATTAATTATACTAGAAAATGTAAAAAGTTATACCGGTTAACTTATAATATTATCCAACGTTAACATACATAGGACCTAAACAAAAAATAACCTCCAGATCTATAATAGTTGCCTTCGTCAAGTCCAATTATCAAAATACCATTTTAAACTTAGTTTTTTGACATTATGTAAAAAACTACATATGTTGCGAGAACTTAAAACGCTTTTATTCTGTCATATAAAATATATTTTTTTTATGATCCTCTCATAAACTATAGGAGATATAAAAACTTTGAAAAAACACATTTTTGGTTAGCAATTTACCAAAAAAAAAGGTTACCTTTCACTTCTATCTCTTAACTATTTATTTCTCTCTAATTATTTATTTATAAATATAATAAAATATTTCTCTTATAATTATTAATAAATATTTGCCTCCCACTTTATAGCTCGCGAGTCCTGAGTCCGATTAAGCTGTAAAAGCCAAAAGGCTAACAGCACTAACATTATCAGAAACCAGAAAATTGCGCTGTCATTTATAAGTAGCATAATGTAAGCTAAGTCCTAGACACAAGGAAAATATAACACGTACATTAAAGATTATTGATAAAATAAAGAATGATGGCTGTGGGGCTGAGGCAGATAAGTTTCCAGAAAATTGCTAGAAAACTTATAAAAATAAAGCCCATTAGCTGGGGATTCATGCGACGTTCGGGCTTTACTAGAAAAAGGAAGGACAAAGGAAAGTAAATAACGTATAGTCAGCCCTAACCTGCCTCCCTCATTTGAAAAACAAGCGTTTTTACTCATCCTGATAACCCTAGGCCATATATCTGTAACAGTTTTGTTACGTTTTATATTTATAATTTTCAGCCAGTACTTAAATACCATCCCACCTGATTGTAAGTGGTGATGCAGCCAAAGATGGCGAAGTGCACTGACTTAATAAAAGCCTGTTCATTCTTGCCTTAAAGACACCCACATTGTAATCGAATGGTAAGGCAGATGCTGGCTACTTATTGCACTCCTTTGCGGTATGCATAAAAAACGATGTAGCTAACCGTTTGGTTCAAATGCGTGACAAGTTGATAACGAAAAGATGGAGACTGGCTGAGCATCTGATTGTCCAATGGCAAAAAGGGGATATATAGGTATATATGTGGGTTTGGAGTAAAAAAAAAAGTTAAAATATCGATTTTGCGTCAAAACTTTCAGAGCTAGAAACTAAAGTTTACCTTTTATTGGGTAAATTGCTAACAAAAAAAAGTTGTTCGAAAGTTTTTATATCTCCCATAGTTTATGAGAAAATCATAAAAAATAACATATTTTATATGCCAGAATAACATCGTTGTAGGTTCTCGCAACACATACTGATTCAGAGCACTTTCGTTGTCCTTTTTACATTATTATTGTTGTATAAGTTTAACTTTTATTACACTTCACTAATTTTGGTCAATGAAAAAATATTTTAGTATTATTATTATTGGGCTACAAATGTCTTTGTCCTATCTGGTAGGGCTGCGTGTTAAAATAAAATGATAAATATACATTAAATATAGTTAAATATATTTAAAAAAAAAAACATAAATAAATCATTCCTAATTCCGCGGCATGTACAGCCCAATTATTAACGACCTCGGGTGATGCAATATATTATGGTACAGCGAGATCTTGGTGTAGAATTCTGGCTACTAGGTCGTGCCTATGTACTCAAAGTTAGAAAGCGCTAAACAACCGGATGTAACATGTCTAAGTTATTCCCTGGGATGAAGACAAGCTCAACAAATGGCGACAGCACCATCCTTTAGGAAGTTTCTCCGATAGTTGTTGGCCTTAATATCCTGATCCTGTATCGCACACACAAAACCAAAGTGGTCAACAAACCGTAGGTAGTGACGGGAGACGACCGTATCTACGAGAGGCTTATGTAAAATCATGTAGAACCTCCCATGATGCTCCTTTTTCTATACGGTCTCCCGTTCAAAAATGCTCTGTATTACCGGGTCTTGCCACTGCTCGTTGCCTAAGGATATAGGGCTTATATCACACGAAATGACGCATGTGTATATTGTATCATACGATCTGGTTAAGAAGTACTTATGAAGGATGCACACTCAGCGATTATGCACGGTGAGGGTGCTCAAAAAGCCACGTCCACCATATTTCCGCGGCAAGTACAGCCTCATAATCGACGATCTCTGGTGATGCATCCTATGATACGTCGTAGAAGGGTACTTAGGGACTTTTCTATGTAGGGCATTAAGTTCATTTTAGGTCAACCTAAGTTTGGCAGACAAGCAAGCTTATTCACACCGGATAAAAGGCTATCAAGCACTTTGGTCAAGCTTACATAAAACACATCGCAAACTGAATGTTTCATAACCCACCTCATAAGTACCGATGTTTTGTGATATACCCAAGTAACGGTATGTTTAAGCCTCGAAGTAAGCGACCCTATTCCTTCACAATAATTATTATTTTATGAGTTGTTCAATTTTACAATCCACTAAGTTTTTCAGATAAAATAAAACCTAAATCACTCCTCATTACGAATCGTCTCGCACGCAGACTCTACAACTTCCAGCCTCCCGAACAAGCCGGTTTCCGAAAAGGCTTTAGCAACATAGACCACACACATACCCTTCGGCAAATTATACAGAAGACTGAAGAATACAATCTGTCACTATGTTTTGCGTATTTGGAATATAGGAAAACCTTTGATTCCGTTGAAATTTGGGTGATGCTACAGTCCCTTCAGCGGTGCCAATTTGAATGTCGTTATATCGAAATGCTGAAGTCTTTGTGTACCCTACTGTAGTAGAGTACGATTACTATCCGATTACAGAACCAAAGTACGACAACTCTCCAACTGCAGAGAGGGTGACGTTTTATCCACTAAACTCTTTACCGCTGCACTGTATTCAGATTATTGAAGTTGCTACACCAGTTCCACCAGGTTTTAGACAGTACACAGTATTTAAAAGAAAATAATTGTAGCGTTTTATTTTTATCATCATTCTTTCTGTTGCATTGTAAATATTTGGTTTATTTTATGAAAAATTTGTTATACCGTTACATCATCACCTACATCAAGATGTCACGATTTTTCGTGAGTTTTCCTAATGAGGCACGGAATTCAATCTACGCAATATTATTATTAGAAAAATTTTTATAATTTTTGTGCTTAGTTTTCTATTCTTTGACCTTTGACATTACATCTTACGGATCTTCTGATATTTTGTCTTACGATACGGAATTAGTTGTTTGGATTTATTAGACTATATTAATATTTTAAATAATATTATTATTATAGTCTAAGTCTAAGTGATTACCGAGTTGTTACTTACGTGATTATATTTTTAGATACAGATTTTGTTTTGTGTTTTGGTTGTTGTATAAAATTTGAAAATGCCTCAAAAAGAGAAAAGTAGTCTTTCTCAATACACTAGAAGCAATAAAATGATGAGACAAGTTTGACCACAAGAGACAAATGAGCACCTTTTGGCTTACAATAGAGGACAAACTATGGAATCTCGGGCATCAGAGTCCCGTTTCCTTCCATAGTGAAACCAGCTTGTCTACAGATTTCGAACGCTACGCGATGTCTTGCGCTTCGGAAACATTAATAAATTACTCTCAGAGTTTAAAAGTAGACCGTGAACGGACATGCTGATTCTCGCGCTTAGGGAACGTTCAAGGAGTATATTTAACATTTGACTGCAAACCGTGAACGTCATGCTGAGTCTCGCGCTTCAGAAACGTTTATGCAATATTCAGAACGCTTGAATGCAGACCGTGAGCGTCATGCTGAGTCACGCGCTTCGGAAACGTTTACGGAGTATTCAGAGCGGTTGACTGCAGACAGTGAACTTCATGCTGAGTATAGGTTCGGAGTCGTTAACAGACTACTTAGAACCCTTAACTGCAGACTGGAAACTTCATGCGAGATCATGTGCTTCGGTATCACTTACTCAATATGAAGCTGAAGAAAATTTGCTTCAAAATTGTAATGAACTTTTGTCTTTACAAAAGGGAAAGACTTCGAGCTATTAAAGTAACGAAACAGAAGATCAACGCACAAATCGTTTAGAAGCTGATCGTATTCGTACTTTTATAAATAGTTCACTCACCTCTACTTCACCGTCTATGGACAAAGAGAACTACACTGATACATGACATCGAAGCCTAAATCGCGCTCACAAAGTTCCGTAGTTAAAGCAGTATATATAGAATAGCTCCGAACTACCATCGGAGTGTTGGTCGCTCCCTGGGCTGCACACCTTGCCCAGCGGAAGATCTCCCCTTTTGCTTTCACCCGCCACAGTGGTGACCACCCGACGTGATCTGAACACGCAACCAATAACCTTCGGAAAATACAACTTCAAAAACCTTCGTCATCGTCCTCAAGTACCCCATTCATTCGCTCCCGAGCAGATATTGTCTGCAGTCTCCACATTCTGCAAGCCATCTAGCTATAAAAAGGTTCATCGCAGCACTGGAATAATAATGCTTCCTGTTCCTTC